TCTATGATTCTATGATTCTATGATTTTCATCTGTATTCACAGGCTCTTCCTAAAAACATTGATTCAGAAACAGTAACTGGCCAAACATGTCCATTACTATGAATCTGGCTATGCCTGCACCGACAAGCAGTAAAGCACAATAAGAGTGGATCTCTAGAGGAAACCAGCTGGTGCCAAAGATCTGACAGCCACAGCAGATGCATTTCAGAGCGTTTACTCTGGACTACCTCCATTCTAGTCCTAAGGGCTGAATACCAAGCGGTAGTTGGGGTGCACTGATGTTCTCCTGGAGCATATCTTCCAGAAAAAGAATCCAGAACACTCTGAGGCTGCTCTACAATGTGAACCAAAGTGCAGTAAGTGATTTCTAGATTTTCTAGTCCATTATAAGTCAGATGCACACCAAATTAAGTTTAGCAGAAAGAACACACAGACATATCCCTTTTCCTATATTTACTATACAGCAACAAATCTCAGACAGATCTTAAAGGTTATCTTCTTTTACTATTTAGCTATTTCCAAGTTTCTATATAAAAAGTTACCAGGAAAAGATGTTAAATTAAAGAGTGACAACAATAACAGACAATATTTATTTTATTGGGATAGATAATTATCACTATTATCCTGTATGATTTAATATCATTACTTAGTTCCCCTATAACTGCTTCCAGAGACATGGAACATATACAGGAAGTTTCCATAGAATGAATGTTTTGTACAGAGGTTGGAAAAGTATTGTTAACTTCCACTTGAAAAGACATGAGGTCCCCATTAGTTTCATCAAGCTGTATCATTAATATTTAAGCCTTTGTTGATTATAGTTCCCGTAAGAACTGTACCTTGCTTATATACATTGCATGGAGCCAAACAAGCGTCTACTGCTGGTTTTCAAAATATTTTATTCATATGATGAAAACAATTGATTTACTACATTCACTTCTGATGCACCAGTTTATCTGCTGTTGCACAAAATGTGAATGAAAATGAAAAACAATAATGACTTGCACTTTTCTTACCAATTCTCATTTTGACTTGGGCTAGCAAGTTGATATGTGGCAAGTAGATATTTTTTGTAGGTAGGACCAGGCAACTCAATGTACTGTCTTCTATTTGCCGTTCAATGGGTTCTCCACAAACAAAAATCTATGAAAAGAGTATGCTTTGTAAAATCAAGTTGCAGACAGCAAATTCAATAGAAGTTTGAAAAAGTAAATTAAGTATTGCAAAACCCTGGAACTTAAATGCGTCTCATAAAAAAAAAACACTAGGAAAAGGGCTTGATAATCCTGAACTCCTTTATTTTTGTTTGTACTTGTCTTCTTTGCAGAGTTTAGTAGAAAATGAACAATTTCAGTGAACTCTTGATCGAATTTATTAATGTTAGGCTTTGGTTTCTAAAAGCAAACTCCCTCAAATCAGTCTTTAAGAAATAGATCTCTCAAGTAACCTGAGCCCTAGAAAGAAACTGTCATTTCTGCACAGAAATCTGATATCCACAAAGGCCAGAAAAGAAAATAACATGTATGGACCAGTCAAACTTTTCATTAATGGAAATAAGGCAATGGGGCAAACTATAAGGTGTTAAGTCTCTTGAAGGCTGGCAAGTCTCATAGAGGAAGTCTAAGTCTGAAGTGATTCATAGGATTCGTTATTACTTGGGGGAACAAATATTTCAATGGATTAAACTTCTGTATTAGGAAATATGAGGGAAAAATTTGATCCAAAAGCTTTTCTTTGTAAACTATATCAAGAATGCGTAGAGACTGCAGAAGTGCATATCTATTTTTGGATCATCAAATAGGTAAATGGTTTATTGCTATACATTCCTCTCATAGATTTCATGTCTTTAGATTTATTTTTTTATTGTATATTCAAATTTTTACATGGAAATCGTTTCGTCGCACTGACTGTAACAATCTGTCAATCTAAAACTTCATAAGCAATATGCTACTTTATATAGATTTTCTGACTCAAATTATTGTAAGTTAAGATACAAAGCTAAATTCTTAAACTTGGATGCTCAAGAGTTAGGAATTTTATGAGATGTACATCCTCCCTGAGGTGCTGAATACAAACATGTCCGTCATTTCAAATTGGAAAAAGTGAGCGTGCCACATCACTTTAAAAATCAAACTACCTATTTCAGTTCCATATGGATGTACATTTTGCAAGTATTCAATATTTTTAAATTGTATGAAAATACCATACCACATACATAAGTACGCATGATGAGAATGCATAAATATATTTGGTAAGATTAATTACTTCTTTACACTATATAACCTAGGGAAAATGGAAGTGATCGGTTAATAGGAATAGCCCTTTTAAATAAATTGTTAAAATAGCTTCCAGAATAGATAATTAAGATTGTTGGAAGGATCTGCAAATGCTGTGTAAATCACCAGCATATACTCACTGCTTTAATGGTAAGCTCATGTGCCGAAATTAGTAAATTTAGTGGTTCCACTGCAGAAGAACAATGTGCTGTATCCTCCACTGTTTCCAGTATTAGTATGTCTGCCAGCAGAAGCATACTTTTCACAAGAGTCAAAGAAGCTGGAGGGGAAATAAATGTATCCTCTTGGAGTAAACTGATGATATTCTGTTTGGACAGAGACAACATAAACCAAAGTAGTTACTGCTTTTGCTGTCTATTTATGAGGACAAATCACATAAAGTGGAAAAAAAAAAATCTCTTTTAGAAGCACTATTTCAAGCTTATTTAATGCTGACATCAGCTGTTCTGACTACTTGAAAAACGCATCAAAGAAAAGCGAACAGTTTCTCCTTTGTGTTCAAACCTGCAAAAGAAGTTTAATGCCTGCCACGGGACGTTTTTCTTGCAGGTCAAGAATAGCAGCTTGCACCATCATTTCAGCCTGAGTCAAAATATCACCAAAGGCTTCTGCCTCCAGTATTACTTCTTTTATCACACTTCTGCGTTCAGCCACATCATTTTCTAAAAGAAGATAATTCATGAATAGTAAAAATACAATAGAAAGACTTTATGGTATCTTCTACCATTCTTAAGAAGTCATTTCCACACTAAAAAGTTACAGAAAATCTGACGTTATAGATTCCACATTTACCACTTCATTGATTCTGTACCAAATTTACTTTAAAAAGAAAGAAAAACCACTTAGTTGTTAAACTGCACTTGGTTTAAGTTAATCCAAATACATTATTTCCATGAAAGCCACCAGCATAAATAATTAGATTTTGTAGATCAGATGTCATTCTCACCCATAAGACATATTCTACATATTCAAAAATCTGATCTTAGTTATATATCAAAATAGTAACAGCCTTCACAGGAATTATCCAGAAAAGATTAAATAAGAGTTTGGCTACAGACCTACACTGTGATTTTGATACTTAAGTGAGCATGAGTTTACATTAAGTTCGCAGAACTAAGGAATGAAAAATATCTTATTCACAATCAAACTGCAATAAATGTATTTTGTAGTATCTCACTTAAATTTTTTTAAAGAAAAAAAAAGAATCTGGAACATTTTTTAGGAGATATATAAAAAGTGAAAAAAACCTGAAACTTTTAAAACTAGATGTAGCAACAGTGTTTTTTTAAAACAAGCATACTACTTTAACTTAATTACACTAGAATATTTGAAACTTTTTCACACACAAGTGATTTATCAAAAGATGATCATTAAATGAACATTGATACAATGCTTTGTGTTTACACGGTCCTGGGAGAGACTGTTCTTAGAAATATATTTTCCTTATTGCATCAGATGAATTTAACACAAATAATTGCTGAGTGATAATACAGCCCCAGATTTTATGTTAATATTTTTTATTTATGAATAAGAATTGTGTCTAAATAGGCTCACTTGCCCATTATACTCCAGAAGTCTAAATCAAAAGAGGGCAATACCTTCCACATTACGAACACCATGTATCTGCGTTACTAGCGCAGTCACTAACATTGTACGACATCTTAGCCACAGATGTACATTAATATGATCTTGTGCTGTTATACTGTGAGGCAGTCGAACATCTTCAATATAAGAGACCTAATAATTTCCAAAAGCAAGAGAAATGTTACTTTCTGAGTCAACCATTTTACTACAAACAAAGCAACAGGCTATGATCAGTCTAAAATAAATCAAATTAATACAAATATATTACAAATAATAACATAATTATAACCAGAAATTTATTTGAAGGGTAGATAGATTTTTTTTAATAACAGGAGTCCATTTATTATTTAACTTTTAATATATAGAAAAGAATTGTAACAAATGAAAATTAAGCCAGCCTTTATGAGAGAGAACATAAATACACCCATATACTAAATGTGTCATGGAGAATAATTCTAAAAGTTGGGACTTTATTTCTCTTAAACAGGAACATTATAGAAAACTTTAAGGCACATGAAAGTCTACTTAAGGCACATAAAGTCTCTACAGAGCGGGATCAATATCAAGTTCTGGTATCTCACTAGTGATTAGAAATTAATTTTTAATTTTTCACTTCTAGTTTTTAGCATTTCTGGTGATTAGAAACAAATATTAATGTAATATAGTACCAAAAATGTTTGGGGGAATTCTCAGCTCAACTGCCTGTGCCATCTTCACATATTATAAACAGCCTAAATTCTAAAATTCTACAGTCCATACTCTAAAGATTTGTTTCAGCAAGGAACAAATGGACATGGCACCACCTGTTTTACTTATATGAATAATCACCACAAATGACTTGCGCTGATGCAAATGAGGAAAAAAAAATAGCCATAACTCAGTTACTAGTTATAGAGCAGTCCTAAGAAAATTTGGAGCAAGTGCAGAAAGGCAGAAGACTCTGCTATGCAACACAGAGAGACAATAATTACACCGCATGCAAGAAAGTCGTCTCGTTATGCTTTTAACAAAATCCGGCCTCGCTGCCCCATTGCTCTGCCTGGGAGTCAGTCTGGCTCCCTGTGCACTCGGGAGGGACGGCGTGGTGTATTACCAACGGGGTTTGCACCTCGGCTTTCCAAAGTACAGGCTAGTATCCCTGTGTGTTGGACAACAGCAGCCAGCTGAAATCTTGCTGAATTTGGAACACAGCTATGATGTGTTTGGCTCTTTGAAATAGGATAACCTGAAGTAGGTTTTCAATCAAAAAACCTAAAATACTTTAACTGAATGATAGAAGATTTTCACCTGATAGCTGTTTTTCCACTTTGTTTGGGATTTTTTAAACAAAAGGAGATTTTCAATGCTGGCATTTGAGAGTATACAAGTGAAAATTCTAATTCTTAACCATATATAAATTAAAATTATGATTATAGACATATTGAATATACTATAGGCAAGCAGATAACTGAAGCATGTAATACATCATTTTCTCCCCAGGCTGATGGTAACCATGTAATACAGATGACTGCTAAGTTCTAGTATTCTGAAAATCACTCGACACTTAATACAAGACTTCATACACTAAGAAACAATAGCTTAAAACAAATATCCACACATACCGAACACCCCCTTTCATCCTTTTCTTCTTGAAAACGTGTCACTTCCATCCTAAAAATTTTTGCATCTTGGAGAATTCGAATTGCAGAGAAAGCCAAAGCAACACTGTGACACAGAACAATATTATTAAAAAATACTAATTATATTTGCCATTTTATGCTTTTATTGTAACAGATACTTCATTTCTGGCTACATCACAGATGTCTATCAGCAGTTATCTATTTTTGCTTCAGTAGAACAAAAAAATTGCACTCGGAATATATTCTGAATTTGTAGGCACTGCAGTGTGAAAATGAGAAAACAGCAGTAAATGAAAAAATTTTGCCAATAACAGATGTAACCCGATAATAATGGATAAGCCAAGATACATCATTTTCTGTTGGAGCAATCAAAACAGAACTCCACTATAATTTTCAGTTACACATATCTGCTTCAGGGATGGCTTTTAGAAATTAGAAGATGTAAAAATACTGAAAATGACAAAATAAATTAGGAGTTCTGTTTCTCATCCACAACTAGAGAGATAAGAAAACACTTTCCTCCTTAAAGCCTTTCCAGACCATATGTTAATCCTTCTGTTAAATCCATACCAGCAAATACTCACAGGATCTTACTAAACACCATCAACCAGAAATTGATCCAGGTGCCACCCTGGCAAAACCTCATAAGCAACCACATGACATTGAGTCTGCTGCCTCCCCCACCCCAATCATAAATCCTTTTCTGGAGTTCACTCTAAACAGCATCTAGAAAGATACAGACACTATTAGGACTGTTGCAGCACTCAGCCTCATGTTTCAAAAAACTATGAGCTAGGATCCCAAAATATTGTTAGGTTTCTTCAAATATTAACTACTAGCTTTTTTTTTTCCTTTTTATGCTATCTTTCTAAAGTTTTCAGATACACTGTTCAATTTTCATGACACCTATGGAAATGTATATCTGTAACAGTAGACTTTGTGAATATTATTATTTTCATGATATGAAGACACCTGCAAAACCAACATAGCGAGAAGTCCTTTTTCACAACAGGACCTGTTGCCCAAAGAACATTCTACTCAAAATATTCTGAGAACTGCCAAAACCAATGTCTCATGGTATTAGTTTTCCATCTCTAAATGTACATTTTCCCCTACATCTGTAAATCTCTACTTTCCTACCTCTTCTCTAAAAAATTTTTGGGCTTTATTTTTTTAACAATTCCACTTATTCTCTACCCACTGAAACATATTATCCTGATGATGCAAAAGTACCTGAGGTTATCCGTAGCCTATCTCTTAAAGATTCTTCAGCAGATAAATTGCTAAAAAATGTATAACCAAAATTCTCACCTATGCTGTCTTTTTAGATAGAGATACTCTCTTTACATAGAGATTGGCTGCTATGAAGCAGGAGAAAAAATAATTTATGAGTACCTTAGGTTCTTTTTACACTGCCAGAACACCGTAAAGAGCTTTTAATGCAAGAGAGATACAGGGCCTGTGTGAATTTACTGCTTTTGAAAGTTCTAGATTAATTGTTGTAAAGGCCAAGTTCTTGATTCATGCACAAAGAAGTCAGAACAAGAGCTGCACTACTCTGAAATTACTCACATTATTCTGCCAACATGTATCTATCTAACCACAGGATGGATAACTTCGAGAGATAAGAGGGTAGTTAAAGTCTTCTTGTCACTCGTGATTCTATCCTGCTTGCCATTTTTGTAATGCTGAACTGGATGGATTACACCAATTCAGCACAAATAGACCCCAAAGTAACAATGAGAACCGAAACTGTTAATATCTTGCCTTTCAGCTCTCAGAATTCAATCCTTATGAATCTCTTTCATCATCCCTTTACCTCAGTTTTATTCAACAAAATGAAACCAGAATAAATCAATGTTGAATTTCATGATAACCTTTTCTCTAACAATGGAAAAGATGAAACAGAATTTGCTTCTAGAAGCAAGAGAGACACTAAGGATAATGTAATGAAATATCCTAACTGCTTTTCTTTCTTTTTATCAAGAAGAGTTTTCCCCTGAAACCAGGCATCAAACTTAAAATTACAGCTAAACCCGACATTTTTCAAAATATTGTTTGTGATGCCATGGCTAACGTTTCTCAAGTAAGCTGGAGAAGGTGCAGCACCCAAGGGTATATACAGGCTTTTAAGGAATATTAACCCAACTTCCTGAGCACCATTGCCTCCAGTTAACTGCTGTGTCAACATTTAGCGATTCTGAAAATTACACCATTTTTACCTACGTGCTTCCATATAAATTTCATGAGTAAAATGTAGACCACAACGCCAAAGGTTCATATACGTATTGTTTTAAGCAGTAATGTATTCACATAAGTAGACAAGCACATATTTGGGTAATTAGAAACCTCACATACCTAGGGGGGGACACCATATAAGTATTCTCCTTGAGATCAACGGAATTAGTCCTATACATAAACTTATTCTGAGGCATAAATTTTTTGCAAGACAGAGGCTGTAATGTAGAATCTTCCCTTGATGAAATTTTTGTGACCCTCTTCTGCTGTCAACAAGAGTGATGTGTCTATATATTTCCCTTGACAAAATACACATCCTTTTATCAGCTGAATCAAAAAGTGACAAGATGATCAAAATAGGAAAGTACAGCTGACTATAACAATTTCACCACTAAGTCATTTCGCCAAAGGAAAAAAATGATGAATTTCTGTAATATCATGCAAAGTTTGATTTCTAGGCTGGTAGGCAGGAAACATTCAGCTGTCTGAAGGAATGTTTCATTTGTACCTGAGGCAGATATATCTGCAGTTTCCATGGATGGCAGTGCAATAAAATTGTAAAATAGGTTTAAAAACCCCAAATCCCTGCTTTGTTTGTTGGTACCTTTTTTTTTCCTGCTGTCTGACCACTGTCAATATATAAGGCCCATTGAACACCTATCAAAAATTCGAGAGTCCCAAAAAATGATCTATAAAATGCTCGACATCCATTGGAACCCTTGATACTCTAACAAAGTTTCTTTGATCTGAGACAAGCTACAAGCCAAGAGAGAAACTACTCTCTAGGATATAACTGCATGTCAAAAAGATGGGTCCTGCACTGAAAATGGCTTGCATACTGGAACTAGTTTAGCAAGGTGAGAAAGTTTGGGTCAGAACTCTACTAATACAAGTTTTACCAAGCCTAGTACCAAGCTAAACCAGGTTTATGCACAGGATATTTCCTAAGTCTGCATACTGGTCCTTAGTTACTAATATGATAATTTTATAGAATCCACATGGCACTCAAAAGCATGATGAGGTCACTGCCTAGTGATTTGTTGTTTTCTCTTTGACAAATTTACGGTAAATTAATCCAATTCGAAAGGCACTGAAATAGATTAATATATCATGATGGGAAATGTCCACAAATAGCCTACAAGTTCTTACTTCACATCTTCACTAATGACATTACTGCTAAATGATTACAGTCCTAATATCTGAACTTTTGGGAAACTTCTATCTTTTAAAATAAGTAAGCAAAACCCAGGTTAAAGACCATGCTGCAATACTCCTATGTTTTCAGTTCAGTAGTCCATACAGCACTGTGAAGCTCCTGTCCTTGTTAATTTTATTTTTTTATTGCTATACCATAGCAGCTAAAAAGGAATTGTATTTAAAGGCTATCATCTGATTTGGAGGTTTGTTTGTTCATCTAAGACAGCAGGGAGAAGGAAGATAGTTTGCTTTTGACATAGAAGAAAACTTTTTTTTTTGTTAATTGGGTAAAAAGGAAAAAAAAACCCAACATTGAGACTGGTTTATCGTTGGCCAGCTGAATCACCTACCACTTCACCAGTAAGTGTCACAGAAAACTCCACTAGTATTTCAACAATAAAAAAAATGTTAATTTTGTTTTTTGCTTGGTGCCTACTATAATGTAAGATTTACTGTAATAATTTTGGTGTGTTTAGTCAGATTAGACATAAGAAAAGCTATAAATACTGATTACATTCTACCTAATCTCAATATAGTCTGGCAAGTGACAGTGCTACACCTCTGTATGCTGCATCTCTAGTTAATAATTTGTACCCTCAAAGATTTTTCAATGTAATAAAAAATTAGATAAAATGAGCTTGATACTAATAAAAATGTATTGTTAAACTATTATCCTTCATATACAAATTAATTTAAAATTAAAGATATGCTAAACAGAAGAATCCTCCTACCTAGAAGATTAAAACAACATTCAGAATTTAACACTTACAAAGAGTTAATATATTTCTGTATGGCCCATGTATTCAAAGAACAGCACAACTGTAATTTCATTAAGTTCTCCAAAAGAAATCAGAATCTCAAAAAAAATCACAGAATTTGGAAATTATAATTCTGAGAAAATATCTTGCAGATCATGCAAATACAACAGTATTTTATACACTATCACTAACAATATAATTAATACCAGCTAAAATCTATTCTAATATGTTAAAGGTTACATCAATGCTTTTCAATCAATTTTAAAAATATAATTTTAACATTTTAATATGACACCAATGAGTACATCAAGCGGAAATGTTCCTTTAGGACAGTAACATAGTGTATTCTAGAACAAAGTGGAATTCAGTACTTCAGAGATAACATTAGTGCTCTGGTTTACACCTCAATATTACAAAAAACTCATGACCTAACATATCCAGACTTTTACTTTAACAAAAACAGTGAACATATTGCAGCTTTTCCTTTGATATTGTGTAACACTATATCACAAAAATACTCCACAAAGAAATTGTAGGCAAATCACTGATCATGTTTTAGAAAGTAAAATAATGCAATAATAAAAAATTAAACAACAGTGAAACTTACATTTGTAGATATACTAGTGGGGTTATTATGGCTGGCTACTAAGATTCAGAATATTAATTTAGACGTAAAAGATTCAAAGAAAAAAATACTGGATATTTTCTTTAATCTTCTGTAGTCAAGGCTGTGCAACATAAGGTTGTTCCTAATAATACTTACTTGAAAGCTGCCTGATGCCTTTGCTGAGAAATAGCAGCAAGCTGAAGTTTGGCCTCAATAAGAGCCTCTAAATCTTCAGCAGAACACAAAGATATCTCCCCATCGTATTTGTCCTGTATGTTCCGTACAAGATAGCTAAGACTTTCTTCAGCTTCTGTCAATAAAATCCCCTAGAGAAGAACATAGCATTATATAATTTCAAAAAATAATGAAAGAAATACAAAATTTCTTTAAAAAGTATTTTATTTTGTTATAACCTACTATGACCGCACTGTCAAAGAAACCAACTTGAATACAATGTTTTTTCTATAAATAGCAGGGGAGGGTTAATTTTGCTTTTTTTCAGGTCTACAGATTCAATGTGCTGAAAGTAGCAACATCTTAACTGTGCCTCTACTATTGCAATTTATGTTTAACTCCATATTTTATGGCTTAGCAATATTACTCAATAATTTTTCATTCCTATCTTATAGCTATACTTGATAATTTTATACTATATTTCTTACTATGCTTAGTAATTTTAAACAACAAAATACAATATTAAAATACAATATTAAAGATATTGCAAGAAGTATTACATTCTTTTCTATCTATACTGTGACAAAGCAGTATGTAACCTGAAAGTTCAACTGTAATTTACAGTCTGGCAAACAAAGCTGTAAAAAGCTGTGAAAATCAAATCTAAAAGAAAGTTAATTTTAAAGAAAATCTCAATCACAGAGCTCTCAGCAGAATTCAAAAATCATTCAAAGGTTTGCATCATCCAGTATCCCTTTTTGACCAGTTTCCTCAATGAATTCAGAGCTCTACTTAAAAATAGAAAAGTTAAAGAAAAATCAGAAGGGTAAGAAATATATTACGCCTCTTAAATGAGCCCCATTCAAATTAATGTAACATTTCTATTTTAGTTATTTTCAAGATGCTATTTTCAATTTATTTTCAAGCTATACGAAAACTTTCAAGTTTCTAGTGTATGGCATATACCAATCACCATACAAAATCGTCCCTCATTTCTCCAGATGTATTTTGTACATTGCTTTGTTTGTAACAATGGCCAAAAGTAGATACTTCCAATGTGGAAGACCCTCTGAAAGAAGAATACATCAGCCCTCAATTTTGTTCTTTTTGTGATGTGAAACTGCCAAGTATGAAGTTCACAATTAAACAAAACAAACACTAAAATCAAAACAAACAAACAAAACCCCTTCAAACAAAGAAGCTAATAAGCTCTGGTATGTTTCCTCCAAAATCAAGTATCAAAAAGAGGACCATGAAAAATGTGAGACCTTTCACATACAGTAGAGAATGGGTTTCCATTTATTTGTAGAGCATACTGCCACATCAAATTGTCTCTGACGTTCTAGAGGCACCATCCTCTGAAAGTAGATGATTTTATCCTTGAAATCCCCTTCAGTCTTCGCCCTTATTACTGAAATAGTCATACCGAGATCTGACTGTGACAGTATTTCCCATGGACATTTATATAGCATAAACCAGATCATTTGAAAACCTGCACCAAACCACCAAGACTTCATGTATGGCTAGTAAGATTACCAACAGCTTAGAATCAGAAATTTCTAGTCCCTGTATTCATGCCACCCTCCCATCATAATTTCTGTTACACTGAAAGCATTAGCAATGTTTTTGGAACAATCTTCAGTTTCTTAAGCCTTTTTTCCTAAAAACCAAAATTACCTTCAACATGGCCATATTTAATTCGTCTTTACAGGCAACAAGCTGCATCATTGTGCCTCTTTGTTCCTGTTGTCTTGAATTCTCATCAGCATCAACTGTCAAATACATTTCAGATGAAACTTTAGATAACAGATGCAGAATCAAAGCATTCTCAGTAATTTGAAGAATATGCCCCTTTTTTCTCTATTTATGACTGGGATTTTCAATATCAAAATAACTGAGGAAAAATGGAATACAGCTCTAATAATATTAGAGACATTAGCTAAAGAAACCTTGAAATACCTTAATGCTTATTATTTCAATAATGACTGATTTTTCCAGCAACATTTAATATGAATATTTTTTTATAATACATTAATGTATATGCAGTTAAAAGTGGAAAAACTATGCTCGAAACAAGTTGCAGAATTAATACACTTTTCCATCACTCTTATAATTACCTTTTACATTTGATGCTGTAATTCTGCTTGGCTCCTCCAAGCTGTTGATATCAACAGAATAGACATGTTTTTCCACTTTTTCAGGTATATTATTGATTGTGGCAGAAAGGCAAATGATGAAATGCATTTTGGCTAAGGTTAATTTTTTCATAATTTGTTGGTTGCACAGTGGTACCATTGTTAAAGACAGACTCCAATTAAATACGTCTTCCAGTACCTACAAGAAAGTTAACAATTGGGACTATTTGAAATTATATATTTTACTTTTTTTTTCTTCAAGGCATATTCTGCTTCTGTTAATAATGATATTCATCAACAATTAAAATGAATAATATTAGTAATATGCTCTTAGTCATTATGGATGAGTTGCTGTTTTCCTTTCCAAGCTTAATTCACCCCTTAGTAGCACTTGCTACAGCCTCGGTGATCAGTTTTCCAGTAGAAGGTGCATCTATGAAGTTATAGCTATTACTCTATGTGAGTTCTAGTTTTCTGCATTGTCCATAGCACTTTCTGAGCTAAGGTGCTCACAGAAAATATTTACTAGTTAAACCTGTTGTCCAAAAATCACAACTCAAAGGAAAGTCTGTTGTTACAATTCACCCTAACTAGAAAGATTAAGCAAGGAAAAAATTCTTGTATCAGACCATTCTAGCATATTTCCTAGAATCTTTTTGTTATTCATTATAGCATCCTTGTTTTATCTTGAGTTCAATATTCTCACTTTAGATTAATAAATGTAGAAGCTGAAAGTCTACACAGCTTTGCCAAATCATAAGGAGACCAATAAGAGCCCCATATAGACTGTGAAGTTTCAAATCAAAAGCTCAAGATAAAGCACAACTTCAAAATGAATGTGAAACTAGTGAGATCAAAAGCTGTCAAGATAGACTTCTCACTTCTTCTAATACCAACTGTTGTAGGAGATACGCAAGCTTACTGTAAACAAAAGAGAGAAAAGTGGAGGAAAAAAGTGTTTTCTTTCTATTTTATCAGTTTGTTTTTATGGTACAGCTTTTTTTACACGTTCTGCTAACAGTTACCCCTAATGGCTCAATGGATCTGTGACATGGCAAATGAAAGAAAATGATTAAAACTGAAAAACAAAAGAAGTCATTGATGATCATGTGATTTTAATTAAAATGAGAAATGACTGTTCATTAACTGGTTTACAGATTCTCCCCCTTTTTCTTGTCTCCCCCCAGAAATGGACTTCAACCTCAATTTTAATTAGGAAAAATCTGTGAAGATAGCTCTAATTTATAGAAATGGCAAGGCTAGATGACTGATGTTCTTGGTATTTTAGCAGGGTAAATACTAGATCCTACATATCATGACAAAATCTGAATAATTCTACTAGTATGCTTTGCACAGACAAGTCACAGATTTCTACATATTAGCTCTCCCATCTGAAAAATGGTAATAATGGTACTTCCTCTCCCTTGAGAGGTTAGCCATAAAATTTAAAATTTAGCAAATGGTAAACTGTTGAGGAGAATATGTTTTCTATTTAAAATTTTTTACTAATAAGAAGCATATTTTCTGAACCAAATAATCTCTAACTTATGCCAGATAAATAAATATTTACATCTAGCATAAAATTTTTAGCTCTTTCAGATTTTTTTTACCTGTAAATTTGTAACAGTCAGGAGCGATTTTGAAGAGTCAAATTTCTGTAAGGCCTGTAAAATGGACAAAACCAAAAATAAGTAATGTGTTACAATATGAGTATTAAAAAAGTGAGTTGGCAGAGCAGTGGACAAGTGTAGTGCATTTCTGACTATGTTTTGAGGACTCTGAAAATACTAACAATTACTTGGCTTCTATGTGCTTTATATTTCTGAAACATAACCCAAGACACAGAACTATCCCAATACTTCCTATTCCATTCACCTGGATTTTTCATCTTGAAGCAAGGAGAGAAAAAGGCATAAACCAACAAAAATTCTTTTCCAAATTCTAGGAGTTCTATAGACACCAACCATTAATTGCCTTTATGTTCTTTACATTTCTGAATCCCAATATAACTCCAGACTTAGCACATGCCTCCTCTGCTATTCACCAGAGCATAGATCTGAATGGAACGAAAACAAGAGCTACAAGTCAAGATGAACTTGAGACCACAGCCTCCTTGAGGGCTCTAAATCCAACTACTTCTTCACTTATATGTACTTTAATTTTCTGAACACTAACGTGTTTAATTTTCTGAACACTAACGCTAATTCTAGTCTTTGCTCAAAACCCCTTTACCTTTTCACCAGGAGGCAAATGAGTCTACTGAGAGGAAGGAAAAGGCAGAGGTAAATGTCATTTCCAGCCTTCATCATAACTGAGAGCTCTACACAAAACTGTCACTTGGATTCTGTGTTTTTTATTAACTCTTTTATTAACTTTATACTCCAGATGTAGCCCTCTATCATCTCTGTTATTCCCTGAAAATCCTTCTTATTCTGAAAGCTGTGCAAAAGTCCAGCAAACTCTTAACTTCTACGTGCATCACACCCTAACCAGAGACCTAATGCAGAACTTCCTCTGCTGTTCACCCAAACACTCACCTGTGAGTCCTGTTAGACAAAGACAAGTGACAGATCAATCAGACCTCATCCTAACTCTGTGAGCTCTTTAGACAATATACAAATTAAGGAAAGGACTTAAAGATGCATTTTAACTCGACTAGCATCAGAAAGGAGTAAACGCATTCCTTATTGTAGCCATGAACAGGGAAGCTTTGCAGAGCCAGCTCCACTGAGGATGCTGATAACTATTTATGGCTCAGTTTAGTGAGAATGTAACATAGCTCATGCTCTGAGGAAAATCACTAAATTTCAGTTAGGAATTCTCCTTTCAGCACCAGCCTGTAATTATCACCAGATTAGAAATCCCGTTCTATTGCATGTATAGAATGTGGCTGTGCAATAAAGTTAAATCCATGCTGCTGTCAAAAGGAGTGTCCCTACCTGTCCCACTAGTCTTCTATCACACATTCAGTCCAGCTTCCTAGTGCTGGCACACATACTTCATCATGGGGTGACATCTACCCAAAAGCACCACTCAGATAAGGGATACCTTGATTACAGCCATCCAGCAATAACTCATTAGATTATTTTGGAATGTGCTTGGAAAACAAGGAAAGGCTACGTAATTGTTATCGGAGAGGCTTGCCCAATAGCTGTGGACTGTCTCTGCCTGCATAGGTGTCCCCACAGGTAAGACAAAGAAGCCTAGGTCAATTATTAACAGCTTCATAACCTTGTAGCACATTAGTGATCAAGGTAAGACCACTACGTGGCTTTAGATGTGGAGAAAATCGAAGAGATTGACATGGAGTGGCACGACTGTCAAGGCTCTGAGGGCACCACTAGCTCTTACTGCCCAGCATCTCCTGGGGCTCGCCCCATGGTGCCCATAGCCCATGAACCCACATCAACCCCCCAGGGCCTTCAGTCCTTGCTGCAGCGAAGACACAAAAGGGCAAGTCTCCACCTCCCTGCAGCCCTGCCCTGCCACAGGACCCCCACACCCTGGCCCAGTCTCAGCCAGACCCCGGAGCCCCGTGCAGCCGTCCTGGGGCTGTGTCTCAGCCCAGTTCTCCTCACTAGCCCCGATCCTGATCCCCACCCACAGGCTGATGTCCAGCCCAGCCCTGGCTGTCCCCAGCCCCACAGAGGTGCCTGACGCCCTGGGCTGGGGCTGCCTCAGCTGCCTCCCATTGCTGGTCCCTTGCTATTAATGGGGCAAGAACTATGCATATTTTTTATGTCTACATATGAAATCACACATTTTTTCAACAGTATTATCTGCATTACTCACTGTATAAAACAGACAGTGAGTATGTTTCAAAATTCATTTTTGTTCCTGCTGTTCAGTGAGAGAAATTGTCATTCAATGCCTACTATTTGAGCTGCCTATTGAAAGAAATCTAAGAATTTTTTAGAAATGTGTAATAACTTGCAGATGCGGAGTATGTGCAGTTCCATGAAGAGAACTGAGTGTTATATTTGATGTTATACTTTACTGGTGTTTACCTTCATTTGGTCTATTTTTCTGTATCCTGCAGGTATTTTCCATGGAATTCTCTCTCCACAATTAAGGAAAGACAGTTCATGAAAGGCCTCTGTAAAAAATCCTATATCTGTAAGTACTTTAATCTGTGAAAAAAATAACAGAGCCTTTGATTTAAATAATTTTCAATTATTCTTCTGCTCAAAATACAATGTATTCAAAGGTAAGTAGATTTAGCTACTGGAAAAGTACATTGATGAAGAATGTTCTTCAATGGAAAGAAATCTTTTACATTTTTCACTAAATAAGTGAAATCCCAAAGATAGGTCTTTCACTCTTAAAACCAAAAATGAAACAAAAAAACAAACCAAACAAAAAAGAACTCTTCAAAAACTTGCTCCTGACAAAGGAAAAGAACTTAATTCATCAGACTAGAGCTTTGAGTGTCAGTCCAAGATCAGCCCCTTATCGAAATCTGTTTCACAGATTTTACTCATCTTAGTCTCATAGTAAATCACCACTCTCCCTAAATCATATTAGCATTTCCTGAAAATATCTAAAACCAGTAATACTTTGACTCTTACTATAAGTTAGATTCCTCTAAAAAAAGGCAAACGAGGGATTAAAAAACCAAAAAAACAACAACTAAACCAACAAGGGAACATTAGTGAAACAACAAAAGTCTGTTCCTAGAAGTCTGACAACATGCTGCCACCATGATACTGACAAAAAATCCAAAAGTTAACACTGTGAACAAAAACTCATTTAACGTTTTGCACTTACAAAAACATTTAAAAGAATGGCGGAAGATTAAATATACCAAGTAAAAAGTTTGGATGTAAGAGGGAAAATCTTATATCTTTAAAGCTTGTTAAATGGAGAGTAGAAAGAAATTATGGAAGTACTTAACAGTCTTTGTAGGACATTAACAGTAAAACTGTATAAATAACCCTACATCCTACTAAAATTGAGAATATAAATAGTAATTGCATTTAGAAAGTAGCCCTATTCTACAATCTATTGTGCTAAGAAACACTAAGTAACAGCTGAACTTAAAAGCATTACTTTTCATAGTAGTGATATATTAAATCATATTAGTGATCATATCATATCCGTGACAATATGATCATACCATATCAGTGATATATTAGTGATTTATTAACATTAAATCGACTATATTTATGAAATGAAAAGTTTATTTGAAATACAATGTGCTGTGATAAAAAGAAACTGTCTTTGATTACCTTGAAGATTCTTCCTTCAATACATTTAGCTGCGTCCTTACAAATCTCAGAAACAAAGTACTGGTATAATGTGAACAATGGTAAAATCTGTAGGAAAATATTAGGTCATCTAGTTATAAATGTCCTAAAGGATAAAATTATAGAAATGTACATTGCAATTATATATCACAAATATATAGAGAATATAGGAGAACCGCTTTCACTGCCACATACCACCACTACTTCTGATACGCTCTGTGAAGGATGAATGTGTTAGAAATTTCTTCAGATAACCCCTTATCCTATCTTATATGTGATTCACAACGTAGAAAGTAAAGTTTCCCCGAATTATTCTTTGTGTTCAAGGTGGGTTTTTTTACTATACCATTAATGAGTAAACCTACTGGAAAGATGTTAACGTAAGGGATTTCTAAAACTGTCTGCATTTTGATGTCATAATTTTTGCAGTGTAAGTAGCAGAATAACAGAATTCTGTGAGCTTTTTAAAATAAATAAATGAAGTTCTGCAATTAGTGAAATGATAAGTCTAAGTGAAATGATACCAATTGTAAAATAAACTGGATGGTGGTGAGGCTTATTGACAAATTTATTTGCATTCATTTCGAATTAAAAGTTTTTGTAGGGGCAACTAACAAAAAACATTTTAGAACTGAGTTCTGGTAAAATATACAAACACTGTATTTATTATGATATGATATTTCAGAAAAAGCAGATTCTTTCCTAACAGATGTATTTGTTTATTGAAAATGAAAGAACTTCCAAAATTCAATTAGTTCAGAATTTTACATTATTCTTTACTTTAAAATGTCCCTGAGCTTGGAAAATGCTAACAGTGTTGTTACTGCCTTGTCAAATGCACCTTTAGGTTTTCATAAAGTAGCTTAATACTTCTGAATTTGGATTAAAAATGCCTGAGGCAAATGTTTTAATTGTACCCATACAGTTTTCAACTGATATTTGAAGCAGTTCAACAATATTAGTCTTTGAAGTCTTATTTTTAATAAAACTTGAATCTTGATGTGTTTTTATTTAAGTGTCAAATCAACTCAGTGCCCACCATCCAAAACATTCCCACACATTGAGCATTCAGTGGAAATGAAGCTCTCATCCTGCTGCAACTGCAATTGCTTTGACCATGATCTATGACCTGGATCTATATTCTGCTAGTACAAGTGCAGAAAGAATAAAAAATGTGCATGGCCATGTGAAGCAGGTGGTCAAATTAAGTGTCCGTGCCTCCAGGTAACTGTATGCACTTTGATCTCACTTGATCTCCCATAGCAAGGGCAGTTAGACAAAGCTTAATAACAAAGCAAACTCCAGTAATGCAGGATGGGAAGAAGCAACAACAGGAGGTAAGACAGACATTTAGCCTGAAGTTCCAGAAGAAATCAATCCAACGAATGGCTTGCTGACAAAAAAGGGGTAACATATCTTGCTGTCTCCTCCTCTCAAACTCCTCTTCCATCTCCACCCCCTAACCTTTTCTTACTCCCCTGCCACCAGCCATGTGATCTTTTCCCCTCCCTCGCACTGGCTTTTTCACTTGCAAGACCTTTTCGTAAGTGGATTCAACTCATTAAAGCAGGAGAAAACTATCTGCTTTTTCTGTTGGGGAGTTTTCTGTCGGGGAGTTTTCTGTCATGCTGAGAGTTGATTTATAGAAGTATACACTAATTGCCTGACATGAAAATCTGTTAGAGCATATAGGACGAAACAGGAACAGAGGTAGAATTGCATCTTTTTCAATACTAGTAAGAAATTTTTCAATACTAGTAAGAAATTCAACCTATTTATCCTAATGTACAGCACTCTACCTTTGAAAGAAGTTGGATTAAAATGGCAGTCATTAAATGGAGGAAATAGGCACCTGATCAACATAAGAAGGAAGCTGTAAAAACATTCCATAAGGAGGAATAAGAGAACGTGTAAAGGAGAAAGGCAGAAGATACTTTTATGTGAAAATAAAACGATATAAACGAAATAATGTAAAAATAAAATTATTGAAAGCATTTTGGACATACTGCATTTAAAGTAATTCTCAATACAGTTAATTTCAAACTTCACCTACTAGGGAATTTCCTCTAAAATGCCTAAGCTAAGTGGACCATGCATTGGCATCTTCCTGAATAAACAAGTACCTTGTAGATTCTAAAAATTGTAGGCAGCAAGCTACACCTTGCCTCTATCTCGGTGCCACAGAACTGAATAAAAATAATACTTACTATTAGATTTTGTTTTGCACAATGTAGCTCAAACATAATGAAATCCAGGCTTGCAACTACCGTAGAGATATCAGCTCTGTAGCGATCAGAGAACAAGTCGATACCAGGAATAAGCATATTTGTTTCATATTGTGCAAAGTCACAGTCAGATGTAGGATGTGGAAGAGAAGCTCTAAACAGGGTCTGAAAGTAATAATAATGAACTACTTGTGAAAAGATGTATAGGCATTAGTGAAACAGTATAAAACTCCAACCCTTGAGACTCAATAAATGACTTTGTAAATGAAACAGTTGAAGTCTTAAGTATACAGTTTTTTCCAGATAAAACCATGAAAAATCTTTTTAGAAAAAATGCTTTATGTGTGAACTTGATGGAGGAAAAAACCAGGCTGTAAATAGTCTCAGGATAGTATTTCATAGAACAAGCAAAAGAGAAAAACTAATCTAGGCGTAGAAAAATAATCATGAAAGATTTCTCAGCAAGTACTCCCCAGGTAATGAAAAGTCTTCCTAAAGAACTGATGGCATTTCTCTCAGATTCCAGGTCAAAGCATCCCAAATAAATCTCGAAGCACTGGAAAAAAACTAATAAATCACTAGGTGTTCACAAAAAGACTTCTTAGGATAAGCTTCTGATCAGCAGACAGAAATAATTTAATAATTTATTCAAACATCTCCATAATCAAGGAAAATGGTTAGGAAAAATTTGTTGAGATTATTCATAAAATCATAGAATCATAGAATGGTTAGAGTTGGAAGGGACCTCAAAGATCATCTAGTTCCAACCCCCCTGCCATGGGCAGGGAAACCCTCCACTACACCAGGCTGCCCAAAGCCTCATCCACCCTGACCTTGAACACTTCCAGGGATGGGGCATCTACAACTTCTCTGGGCAACCTGTTCCAGTGCCTCACCACCCTCAGAGTGAAAAATTTCTTCCTTATATCTAATCTAAATCTACCCTCTTTCAGTTTAAAGACATTTCCCCTTGTCCTGTCACTACATGCCCCTGTAAAAAGTCCCTCTCCAGCTTTCCTGTAGGCTCCCTGTAAGTACTGGAAGGCTGCAATAAGATCACCCCGGAGCCTTCTCTTCTCCAGGCTGAACAGCCTCAACTCTCTCAGCCTGTCTTTATAGCAGAGGTGCTCCAGCCCTCGGATCATCTTCATGGCCCTCCTCTGCACTCGCTCCAGCAGCTCCATGTCCTTCTTGTGTTGGGAACTCCAGAGCTGAACACAGTATTCCAGGTGGGGTCTCATGAGAGCAGAGTAGAGGGGCAGACTCACCTCCCTCGACCTGCTGTCTACGCTTCTTTGGATGCAGCCCAGTATACTGTCGGCTTTCTGGGAATGTGTTCAAACATTTCTTTACCAGTCCAAAGATGCTTCATGGAAAATGTCTTTCCTCAGAAGAAAAATCTTTTTATTTTCACTACAACCTAAGAAAGCTAGTTGGATTTTACTTAACCTTAGGTCCTTGCCTCACCATCACCTCAGCTGTAGTTTCTGGGAGAGTTTTAGGCCTAAAGCTAGTTCTGCCCTAGTACTGCCTTTAACTAGGTCAGCTAGTGCAGCTTAAATCATATAACTTAAAACTGATTTGAACTTTAAGGAAGTAACTTAAATGTTCCCCTTTTAAAAAGAGAGGAGTGCTAACGTTGGATATTCCTTTCCAATTGTGTTTATTTTTTTTGTAATTAGCAATGATATGCTAGAGAAATATGCATTTACATACTCAGATCTGAGATATTAACAAGCCTAAAGACTACACCATAGGTGGAATTTAAATAAGGTTATAAAAGCTTTCCAAATCAAGGAACGAATTATGGGCTTGAACTTTGCAAGGTACAGTGACAGTAATTGATTATATTTTTCAAGACACTCACCCTGCAAGCTGCTCCTATCCCAATTAATATCAGACCTGTTTCAGTCAAGTCACAATTATTTCTACCATTATACAACTGGAACAAATGCTTACTACTATTTCTGTCAAAAGGAGGAATCAAAATTTTCAGCTTTCTACCACCACCAATTACAGTGCTAGAGACTAGTCAAACTTCTCCTTTACCTTTGTTTCTTCAACTTGTCCTCCCTTTGCTGAACTTAACAAGGTTTTAAATGTGGCCTGGCACAGTCACAACCGTGGATGGCACAAGATGTTAGAAAATGGCATTGGTTTGTTTTGGAAGAAGTCAACTAACTTCCTGATGCCGCATTGGGATGAATAAGCATTGATCCCAGCGAAGTATGACTGGCAGAATAATTGCAGTTCTTTTTCCTATATCACTTTTGTTACTGGTATCGTAAAATTTCATTTTAAAAGTAAATTGAAACTTCTTTTTCCTCTATAGTTGGTTTCTGAAAGTTTGCAAACTTAATTTTAATGATCTTATTTTCTTTGGAAACGAAACTGAATCATTTTGACTATCCTCTATTTTTAGAGTAAACTTCTTATAGAGCTGAGATTTTAGTATTGCAAACCAATATCTTTTGATGCTAAAAAGATTCAAAAATTTCTAAAGAGTCTGCTCTCCTGGTTGAAAATTTATGACAATCTGTGAAGACTCTGTACAGATCTGACAGAGAGCACTCTGATATTGTTGATGCCATCCAGCTCCTCCTGATCAGAACACTTCAAGAAAAGAAAAACATATTTGACTGCCAAATATTTTAGCCATCTTCACTTTTCAGTATTTCATTATTTCTCTGACACTAGCCTCTTATTGAAGTGATAATTTTTAGGCTGTAATACAGGAATAATGTTAAAAAAAAGAGAATAAAAATAACTAATCTAATGTGCATAAATTGTCAGCTACCTCTGATCTCTAGTTTTCCTTTATAATCGAAATGAAAAGAGAAATATTTTAATAGAGGACTATTGAGATTTAAATTTTAGAAGCAATTTGTGGACTTTCTGAATTCTAACTGAAATCGTATCCTTACCTTAAAAAACATAGCAGAAATATAGCAGTATTTAGTTCTTAATTTCATCTTTGATGTTGTTATATACCTAAAGTACAACAAAAAGTAAGAAATATGAATGTGTCCATCAATATAATTATTCAAACTTTTTTTTATCTATTATAATAATGATACTAACACAATTTAGATGTTTTCCATGTCAGAAAACAGCTGCTTGTTCTGTAGATAAGTGCTCAGCCATGCCATGTAAAGAAAGAAGCATTTGACCAAAGACATACCTAGACAAAGGGAGATGTCTAGATTCTCTTTAAAGGAGAGAAACAGGCAATCTGAGTGCAAAATTCATCTGATACAAAACTAGAAAGATAAAGCAGGTCAAGCAACTCACACATTAAAGTTTATTTCTTTCCATAAAGGAAGCCTAAGATAACTAGCACATGCAGACTTTCACATAGTAGGTGTCTAGCTAGACTAAATGAATCCCACACAGTACCTCATCAGAGCTTTAAAACATCCTGGTAGTGGGGTACTCCTCTGATCTACAATATTAGAAATCTTTAACACAGTATTAGAATCCTTTAATCTGCATTTTACAGCCTGAGACTAAGTTGCTCTAGAAAGAGCAACTCAAGGGAAAGATGTTTATCTGCCTGAGACAGAAGCTGAGAGGATAGCTCCCTCCAGCTCCCTGCCAGGATTTGGAATGGACATATTAGCAGTAAAGGGGTAGTGTACAGCGCAGCAAATATGTGCCACAAGCACCTGTAAAAGCCGCTAGGGATTGTGTCTCGCTTAATCGGACCTGAGACTGCAGCACAGCTCAGAACTAGAAGAGCCATGGTTTAGGATCAACTTAAACTCCTTTTCCTCTTGAGTGCTAATTCTGAGTGTGGCAATGCAATTTCATCCTGAAATACCCATGCTAACACTTTCAAAGCTACCATCGTTTACAGATATTAATATGTATTACAGTGTTATTAATATGCCCTGCTTCTCAGGTAAGACAGTTTACTCAGATGAAGCACTGCCCTTTCATGTATATGATTCTCCTAAGGTCATTTAGAGCTGGCTTAGATATTTCTAAATTTTATATTCTGTACATTTTTATATTGTACAATACATTGAGGAACAGCTCAGAATTACATCCATAGTGTTCTACCAGCAGTCAAGGAGTACTGGACGGGAATATTTATTGATGGTAGCCTTTAATACAGTAATTTGAATTTCATTTAGTTGTAATTCACCAGAAAATGAGTACTTTAGGCAGTAAACCTGCCCTCAAGATACATTAATATTTAATATGTGCAATGACTTGGGAGATGTGATATTTCAATTGAAAATCAATATGACTGTAAAATCCTTGTGCTTATGACTTTTTATCATTTTGTTTTATTTCAATGATCTCTCCATATAATATACAGCTGCAATTACGACCAAAGATGAGCACTCAGGAAAAGGGAACAAACAATATTCTCCAAAGGAGCAACTTTCTTCCTGAAAGGAAAAATTCCTATGCTTTTGATGAGTTTTTTACAGCGACTCATTAGTGTTTTTATTCAAATTGCTTACTGTCCTGGATGAGCAATTTGCCTAAAATATTAAAGAAATGCATATGTAGATAAAATACTTACTGAGCTATCTTAGCTACTAAGACTGCTGCATGTAAGCATCCCCAAACTCCAGCCTGAGAAAGAAATTTCTGACTAATATCAGTCAATCTTCCAACTGCAAAGCAGTCTGTAGCATTTTTTGGAAAACCTAGCTCTTGCCAGTTGTTAAGAGCATCAGCAATGTTGAGTGTTTCATCAAGGGCTTGACACCAATATTTAAAAGCAGCTCTGTAATACATAAAAAACGTATTCATCATATTGCTGACATTTTCCAAAGTGGAAGATAAGGCTCGCTTCATTTTACCTTTATTGCCAGAGTTATAACTAATTCTGATTAGGTCAAAAGCCGAAACACAGTTTCTACAACACAAAAAGATATCATTCCTGGTCAACAGACTTATTGGGACTTATATTAAAATTAAATTGTCATGCAATACGTATTACTTCCTAAAAATACATAGAGATGTTTAATTAATTTACTTAACTGCCATTAGCTAGCTAAGAAAAAGAAACAATTTCCAGAAAAAAAGTCTCTCAAAATATAGTTAATAGCAAGTCATATGAAAGAAGTTATATGGACATGAGGATAGCACAAGAAGTTACAAGACAGTTGAAGGATATATGAGTGCCAATTAAAAAAAAAGAAACTACTCTTTTTTAATCCAATAACTATGTACCTTTTGTTTCCAGCATAAAAGTGAAGATTTCCAAGTTCATGTAGAGCTTGAACCTTGAGGTCTCTCTGACTGTTTATTTCAAGGATTCCTGTTATTTATTTTTTAATCAATTAGAAAAAAATATTGTGACATCATTAAGTCAGCTACTGAATCTTGAATAAATTTCACACGAGAAGTAGATTGGCATTCACATGTAAGTCAATGCATGAATATTTTTTAAAATATTTATTAAGCTTGTATGTTTTACCTTCAAATGTACAATTTCTTATTTTGACTAACTTTAAAAACAAAAGTGGGATGTATTTATGGACCTGTTTACCTAAGCTATTGTATTCTTGTTTTCTCAGATTTAATAGGATTTCTTCATCTTCAAGAGATAAACTGTGAAGCAGGCCATTGACCGGGGCCCTGCTAAACAACTCTGGCTGCATACAGCACAATAGCACTGTCCCTGCCTGGCTCATTTCTGGACCCCTTTCTTCAAATAAAACCACTTACGGCATCTGTTGTTCTGCCACACTTCACCTATTATGTCACACAGCTAAAACAGGTAAGCTGTAACTGTATGAGTAAAACCATACTGGAATGTAAGATGGAAGCCAAGTAACTAGGTCTCACATTCAAATGCACAGACCCCAAAAGGTCTGTTTCCTAGGAAAAAAACTATCATGGAATTAAGATGAATCTGCTGAACATTACACTGGATTTTTAATTTGGGATTAATCACTATAACATCACTGAAGTAATGCTTTTTCAAAAGATGAGATAATTATAGGGGTTATGAACCAAATAGTGGCTTGTTTAGGATCTAACAAAATATCTAATGCATATTTTCTGGATCAATAGAAAAAAGGTTGTGTATTTCTGGAAACCACCTTTCAGGCATTTATAACTGTCTGACAGAGGAAAATAGCACTGGAATAAACATAAATGAACACAGATATGCAGAAAGATATTACATGCTAGCTGTACACATAAGTTTATTTTAAAAAATTACCAATTGTTTGTTCGTAGGAAGAGATAATTACTGAAAGCTGTGACTGTGGTATTGGTTTACTCTCAATCATACTGGAGAAATTAAATGTTTCTTGAGAAAGGTCATGTGGTGTTGGTAGAAATATCAGTTCAGCTCCCACTTTAAATTCCAGCCTTCTATTTGAAGAGATATGACTACTGATTGCTCTTCCAGTGTTTTCTAGATCAGAAAAGTGATTTATATGATCAGTTCAGAAAAGTAGTGTACTATTTCTAGTACCACAGACATTTCTGCACTACGGTATTCAAACAAATACATGATTACTGTGTGCCTATTTTTGTTTGGTTTCCTATGCTATGATTCTGTCTGCGCATTTCCTAATTAAACTCATTCAACATAACTCATTGGTCAGTGCAACCAAGTGAAAATATGTGCCCTGTTAGAGAAAGAAACTTGGGAAGATCTGCCAGTCAGTCCTCTGACAGAGGTTTGGCTGCAGACAGACAAGTGACACAACTGCATGAAAAAAAAATTTATCATCCAACTCTGAGACAAAAATCATAGGAAATCAGGCTTACAGCTTATGCTTACAGAACTTCATAACTTTATATTCTATGTTTTCCCTAATCATCAATATCAAATAAAACTTGATTTAAAAAAAATCTATTCCTTTTGCTGTTTACTATTTTACTGTAATATATGCTTTAGTAAGTGAGAAACACTTAAATAAATAACTCACCTTGTGTGTGTGCAAGAAATAATGAAAGTAGTTTTCTGCTGTGTCTCAGTGCTCTGCTGTGATATTTAGATTTTTGTAGAGCTTCTCTAAAACATTTCAGTGTATCATCCACATCAAGAGGTACATAAACTAGAGCTTTTGCTTGACTGCAATCTAAAAAGAATTAATAATTATGGAGCAAAATTTTGCGCTACATAAATATATATTTTTATTAAAACACCCCACAAAATATATATTTGAACCATTCCACGACTTCAAAACTAAAATATATTAATGTAATTGTCACTTTTGTTTCCTGCTGGATTATGAATTAAAGCAAAATTATTAACCACCAGGAACACTTTCAAGCATTCATATCTTTTTCAGTGTTAAATTTTAGTTGTCACATGGTATTTACATTCCCTGAATTACATCTGCCCTGGCCATGTATCATCTCCACTCGCTGCTCTGAATTCTGATGTATGAAGTCTGGAAACAAACCTTTTACTACAACTGCTGATCCCATTTACTATAATTCCCATAGTTTCTATGTACCAAACCTGTGAGCTGGCATTCTGTCTCCACTGAATGCATAATATTATCTACTTTTACATACAGCATTATTTATTGCCTAATGATTTCTCTCAGCTGAATTCAACACAAAGCCTTGTGTGCAATGCCTTGACGTCTCTGTGGTATGAGGAACTATGCTTTAAAAACTTTCATTAATGACTTTAATCCTGACTGAAAAGTACCACAACTGTGGGTAAAAAAGGTGATTTGTCACATAAAGAGGTGATTTGTCACATTATAATTCACTGCAGTTTTCCTATTGATTCTGTCAATAACAGTGCAGATTTACATTAACTTCTGGGTATACTGCTGAATATCCAACAATACCAAAAGAAAACTGGACCAAGACCACCAAGCTCACTCAACATACTGTATGCCATCTGGCATTCGGATGACAACTGCTTTTCTCTGCTTTCAGGTACAGTCTGAATATATTTGGAAAGGTCTTGACAACATTACTATCCATCCAAAATATCAGGGATAATAATTTGGAGACAAACTGAGTTTATAGTAAAAGAAACAGATTATAGGAGCAGTGGAAGACCGACGACATGGAGGAAAACCTAATACCTATATGAAAAAAAGGAAACTGTTTGGGGGAAATGAGAAATGTGCTCTCACCTGTATAATCATTTTTCATCTCAGGATGGAAAAAGCGTCCAGGAAAAATCTGTTCATTAGCAGAAAGGGCACCAGGCAGCTGTAATTTCTGCCCTATGTAGCTTCTGCAACTCATCTAAAAAGCAAGTTTTGTTTAATGGTAATTGAGTAAGATTCAGAAAAATCAATGTTTGGTGCTTAAGTACGTAAATACACAGTCATATGACAAAATAAAAGAGGACTTATGACACCAATGGAGGACATAAGACACCAATGACCCATAACTAGTGTCCATGTCAGTAAGAGGGGAAAAATTCGTACCACCTAAATATTGGATATAACATGTAACTATTTAGATGTTGATGAATTAAGCTTGGTATTTGCCATAAAATGCGCAACTTGTTGATGTTCAGCATGATTTCCACCTTTCTTTGTCTGCATAAATGCATCTGTCAGTGTAAGTATGCCTAAAGAGCACACTGCCTGTAAAGCAGGATGTAATGCTGCATAGGGATGCACAAAATAGCTCCAAGCAAATAACAGAAGCAGTCTCACTCTGTCAGAGAAGTGAACTTCCAGACTTCTATAAAGGGCTAATCCAGCAGAGACATTTTATTTCTCTAATGCAGCTACATCACTTCAGAAGCAAAAGAACCAATTCAGAGCTAGTTCTAGTCTCTCTGAATGGCACTGCACTGCGAAATGTACCCATACCCTCCAAATTTTTAACTTGATGATGTCGTTTTTGAACAATCCTTATCACTATTAACTAACATTAGTCTTTATTCTGCAAATTGTCTTTCAAAACTAGGACTACTTTTCCACATTGCTCAGATTGCCCAGAGAGTGTTGGTGAATGCAGTTAAATCTAGCTGGTGGCCGGTCACCAGTGGTGTTCCACAGGGCTCAGTGTTGGGGCCTGTTCTCTTTAACATCTTTATCAATGATCTGGATGAGGGGATCGAGTGCACCCTCAGCAAGTTTGCAGATGACACTAAATTGGGAGGTAGTGTTGATCTGCCTGAGGGTCGGGAGGCTCTACAGAGGCACCTGGACAGACTGGATCGATGGGCCGAGGCCAACTGTATGAAATTCAACAAGACCAAGTGCCGGGTCCTGCACTTGGGCCACAACAACCCCCTGCTGTGTTACAGGCTTGGGGAAGTGTGGCTGGAAAGCTGCACAGCAGAGAAGGACCTGGGGGTGCTGGTCGACAGCCCACTGAACATGAGCCAGCAGTGTGCCCAAGCAGCCAAGAAAGTCAACGGAATCCTGGCATGTATCAGAAACAGTGTGGCCAGCAGGAGCAGGGAAGTGATTGTCCCCCTATGCTCAGCACTGGTGAGGCCACACCTTGAGTACTGTGTCCAGTTTTGGGCCCCTCACTTCAAGAAGGATGTTGAGGTGCTGGAGCAGGTTCAGAGAAGGGCAACAAAACTAGTGAAGGGTTTAGAAAACTTGTCCTATGAGGAGTGGCTGAGGGAGC